ATGGATCAAGCTAGAAGAAATTATGCTCAGTGAAATAAGTCAGAAGGAAAAAGAAAAATAGCAGATGGTTTCACTTACAGGAGGGACATAGGGGAACCAAATAGGACATCAGAGGAAAAAATAATAACAATACAAAACACAACAAAACAAAACCAGACAATTATAAACCAGAGACATCCTGCAGGGGAGGGGGAAGGAGAGAGATGGGAAGGAGGGAGGGAGAAGCACAGGGGACTGTAGTGATGGTGCATGGGTGCATTGGTGGAGGAAATTCTCTGGGGACTAAACCTGAAAAAAAAAGCAAACATTGTTTAAAAATGAACAATGATGTAAAAAATATATAAGTAAAACATAAAGACATTTAAAAAAAAAAAAAAAGGACTTAGATGTTCCCTTTACTACTGCTCTTTGGCTTTCATTCTAATATTGCCTGACCTGAGAATCCTTTTCTTATGACTTCATTCATTGTGCTGACTCAAGCAGTTTAGATTTCCTTGATAAACTAGACTTCCGAAATGTTATATTTATTATGATCTGGGATGTAGTGGCTTTTAAAAAGACAAAATTGCATAAAATAACCAAACGAAAGCACATAATGGCTCAATAATTATGTATGTTAATATACACAAACACACCAAATTATTATATTATGACATATGTGTATATATGTTTAGAAATACTTCATATCAAATCATACACAGACTGGGCAGGAGGATTGTAGGTATTGGCTGTGAAGGCAGATACTTTCTAACATTTTTCACTGATTTTTTAAAAATTTGTTTTTAATTTAATTTGTATCTAGTGAATGTGAAATGGTATCTGGAATATGAGTCAGAGAAATGGTGTCAGCATAGAGCCAGGGCCTTCAGAGGAGGACAGTTGTTCTGTCAGGGATGAAGAAAGTCCTCAGGAATAGGTGAGATTTTATATTAGCTCTCATGTGTGAGGAATACATGGGCAAGCAGAGCTGAAGGGAAGTCTAGGCAAGGGTACAGTGAGAGAAAAATGCGTGGAGGTTGGCTGTGTGGTAAGAGAAGATGCGTGAAGGTATGCGAGGCTGGAGTACAGGGAATGGAGATGAGTGGTGGCATTTGTGTAAAGTCCCTGGGTAAATTTATGATGGACTCATCAGGCTAACAGCCCCTGAACCCTCTGATCACTCTTAATTTTTCTATAATTAGGACAACCGCCCATGATGTATTCTTGCAAAAACAAAACAAAACAAATCAAAACCCTGAGATCTAAATAGCAGTTGATAAAAAACATTGTTTAAATGTTCCTCTGTTTCCTCACATCATGAAGGTACATTTGGCCAAACCCAGAATTTGAGAAATTCTATAAGACAAAGGAGCAATTTTTTTCCCCCAGTAAATACATGACATGAAGAAAAAATGGAGAAGGAGGGAACTGTTATAGATTTAAAGAGACTTAAAAGACATCAATCAAATCAATGCATGAATCTAAACAAATCATTTGTATTGAAGGCATTTTTTGAGGCAACCTGGTAAAATCAGACACAAACCGGAATCAGAAAAGAAATTACTCATCTTGTTGGGGATGAAGACGCTGTCAGATGAGATTTTCTGAAGTTTTTATCTATTACATGGGTGATATGTCCTGCAAATAACTTTCAAATCTTCCAGAAAAATTAAAGCAAAACCAACCCAATTAAAAGGAAGAATTGGAGAGGGGTTAGAGAAATGAAACAAAAAGCAGAAACTTGATGATTTTTGAATCTGAGGCTTGAGTACATGGGTGTTCATTTGACTCTTCCACATGCTTTGGCATGTGTTGGAAAGTTCCCGTGATGAAATGTTTTAGGGCCAGATAAGGAGTTTGGACTTGACTATTTATGCCAGAAAACTTGTGAAGGCTTTTGGCCTAAAGAGGGGCCGCATGTAGGGCTATGAGTGATTCAGTAAGGTTAATGTGGTGACTATATGAAATGACCCAGAAGGAGGAGCTCGATTAAGGCAGTGGCCTTGCAAATGGAAACTCTTTTGAGACCACATAGAGGAACTTGTGGCAAAAGAGGAACTCCTGATGGGTCTGCAGTACAGAAATGAATCAGGTGCATGATGAGGAAAATTCTCTACTTCCTCTTCAGCCAGTCGCAGTTACTGCCCTCAGGCCCTGCACTGGGTAAGAGGTGGAAGGCAAAGGGTATGGATCTTCTCTGAGGGGCGAGTGAGTGACTCGTCATACTAGTGGGAAGCAAAAGGGAACGGAAGAGTTTCGTGTCTATTTTGTTCGCCCCCCCCCTTTTTAACAATAAATTACTCTTCCATTGTTTCTGTATGAAATTCGTAAGTATGGTATCATTTTGACCATATTTTTGGAAGGCAATGGCAATAAATCCTCAGTGGTCCCATCTGAGTCATTTATGATATTAGTTAAGCCAGGGTATTATTTTTGAGATTGAACAATTCAATGAGTTGGAATAATATGGTCTATGGAAAAAGAAGTTGAACTACAGCAAACTAATAAAAGCTTAGGTTTAAATACATATTTTCTAATGGGTTCATAACGAAAAGGCTGGAAGAAAACTTGAGAGCCAATAGAAAGTAGCAGCTGTTAGAGATTAAAGGAAAATGGTAGCTCTCCTGCCCTCCACAATCAAAGATAATACATCACATACAAAATATTAATAAAGTCTCATGCAAACAGGCCACCCCAGTGAATAGTTTCCTGACCACATTTGTGTTCTTGATTCTGCTCTTTCAAGAAGTCGCACTTAGAACTGTGGCCTGTAGGTATGTGTGGTTTCTACAACGAACACACTCCTGTTCTGTCTGCATTTAACATAGCTGCTTAGAGAGGACTGTGCTGAGATGGACACACTGAAACAAAATGCATGTTTTCCTCCTGTTGTGCATCATGAGGGTAAGGGACATTTGCTACCCCCTTGGCAGGACTTCTCATTCAGTCCTCTGAGCTGGCGTTTACCATCCCAATTTGAACCTCAGAAAGAAGTGAGATTTCAGTCAGATTTGTCATTGATCTGGGCCCAATTAAAGCAGAAGTTGTAATTCATGGTAGCTGTTGTAAGGAGCTCGCAGGGAAGAAAAAAAAAATAGGAAAATTCCTAGCTAAAAGCAAGAGGGGTGATTTTTATTTTATGTCGGGACATGCAGCTGAGACTGGAGGGATCCAGATGAAGGGACTGTGGGTTAGGGGGTCACATTATGGAGAAGGCTGAACTGGCAGAGCTCAATGGAAATGAGCCAGGGGTGGCGGGGGGAGGTGGCAGCAGGGTCCCCCACTGCATTGCCTCCCTTGCTGGATGATCAGGAAAGGAAGATAACCTGTGACTAGCAGCCATTATCTCTCTCTCCAGAGGGGTTAGGGCTGCAAGAAACTGATGGATTTAGTTACTCCAGAAATACTAATGATAGTCAGGACCAGAGATGTAAAGCTGGTAAAATTGGCTGTTCTCTGCCCACATTTCTCTCCTTTTGTCTTTCACTTTGCTATTTTAAGATCTAATTCTGCATTTCTAGTTCTTTCTCCAGCCAAGATCAGAACTCATACCCTTTGGGAGTGCCATGTGTCTTCTTTAGGAGATGAATCAGTTAGCTTATGACTATCTCCAATGTGTGTCAGCAAAGAGATTGAGTAACATCTCAGCAAAGAAAACCCCAACCAGGGAGGTGCGCTGGCGCGGCCTCCTGCGTGTGTTGTCATTTTCACACCCGATCAAAATGTCAGCAAGTTCCTAGTGACTGTTCTCTTTTATTAAGGTACTAAACTAGTATATATTGCAGCAAATCATTGATTAAAGATGGTACAACCAGATAAATTTGTGAAACGGGGGAGAGGAATTATACCTACAATATGCTGGGCATTGTGCTGGGGCTTTATAATTTAGCAAGTCCTTATTAAGTATCCACATAGTTCTGGGCATTGTGCATGCTCTATGACATGAGAAAGGGTTCTAAGATGGAAGGCCTAGCAAGTGGCCTCAACGACAATGTGGAGTCTGAGGAGCTGTGAGCAGCTCCTTTCCATGCGCCTTTCCCAGCCTACTTCGCCCTTTCCATGCGCCTTTCCCAGCTTTACTGCCCCGTGACAGTTTCGGGTTTAGAAGGGATGTGGGTCGGATGGCAAGAGGAAAATTCTCACGTATGTAGTATTCTATAGAAAGTTACCTAGAAAATAAAGAATCCTGGCCAAGTGCTGTTGTTTCGTGGGCCCATAGGGCACAGACCATGTCCGGAGCCGTTCGGAGCACGCGCCGCGTTGCGTATGCGTGCCATGAGTTAAGTTTCGCTTTACCCTTTCGCTTTCGGAGAACCACAGGTTTTTCCTGTAAATCACATGAGACTGGGAGGTACGGGGGGAGGAGCTACCAGGATATAAGAGGAGAACCCTGGAGAGAGAGGGAAGAAGAAAAGAGATTTAAGAGGAGAACCACGAGAGAGGAGAGTGCTGTGAGAGGAGCAGAGAGAAGGCCAGGGAAGAAAGACAGGGAAAAGAAAGACATGGAAAAGTAAGAGAAGGAAAAGGAAAACTAAAGAAGCATGCGCTAGTGCATGTATAAACAAACAAACAAATAAATAAATAAATAAAACATGCCTCTATTAAAAAAAAAAAGAAGCATGCGCTAGCGTCAAGTTGTCTCTAGCCCCTCATTTCATCCTCCGCCCTTCTCTTTTCGTGCCTACGAATCCCGTGGGTCGGGACAAGACAGTTCCAATTCCAGCCTGTGTTTTCCCCCACAGCCCTCTGCACGTCATAGGGATGTTGCGTTGCACTCCACTCCTGTACACTGCACTCACACTCCACCCTTGTTAAGGTTTCTCGACCTGAGACATCCTCCAGTTACAAGTTGTCAATTAGGTGCTGTCCTAGAAATGTACTTCTATGTTTAGTGTGTACTGGTTGTGCCCACCCCTGTTGTTTTGGTTGCTTGCACCTGCTTTTTCATCCCCTTCAAATCATTCATATTAACAAATTAACAAAATGCTTCTTTTGTTTTGTGTTTTATTCTTTACTTCTAGAACACAAGCAGGTGTTCCCAAACATTCTGAAGAAGGGTTACCTGGAGATTAGGAAGGACCATGACAGCTACTGGCAAAGTTGTTATGCAGAGCTCTCACCCTACAACTTATACTTCTACAGCCTCGACAGCAGTGGGAATCAAAATCTTTGTGCCACGTACCAGCTATCTCACTTTCAGAGCATCTCTGTCTTGGGCAACCTTGAGGCCAGGCTGGTGGACACCGTTCTGTATGACAACACTCAGCTGCAGCTAAAGGCAGAGTCACCGTGGGAGGCTCTGGATTGGGGGCAGAAGCTCTGGGAAGTCGTGCATGCCACCGTGCCTGGCTACATGGGACGGCAGGATGCGCTGGCAAACTCCCCAGGACTCAGTCATCATGTTGACTGTACACAGAATCATTGTTTACAGAAGAAATCCAGTGAGCTGCTTGTGCCATCCCCTGTCCTGGATAGCCCTAAGCAGTACCAAAACATCCTCAAATCAGGGACGCTCTACAGGCTAACTGTCCAGAACAACTGGAAGGCATTTACCTTTGTGCTGAGCAGGGCCTACCTTATGGCGTTTCAGCCCGGCAAGCTGGACGAGGATCCCCTGCTAAGCTACAATGTGGATGTGTGTCTGGCTGTCCAGATAGACAACCTGGATGACTGTGACTCTTGCTTTCAAGTTATTTTCCCCCAAGATGTCCTCCGCCTCCGGGCTGAGACCCGGCAGAGGGCTCAGGAGTGGATGGAGGCTCTGAAAACAGCCGCCAATGTGGCGAGGAGTTCAGAGCAAAATCTGCAAGTCACACTGAGGAACAAAGCCAAGGACCAGATAGGTGGGCAAGAGCTCAGGAAGAATAAACGCCAATCCGTAACCACCAGCTTCCTGAGCATTCTGACAACTTTGTCTTTGGAACGAGGACTCACTGCTCAGAGTTTCAAATGTGCAGGTATGATGCAAATTCTCAACCTAATGCTCATTATAAAGAACAGTCCCAAGTCTTACAATTGGAATTCACTTTAAAAATCCCCTAGTCGACTAGTCATCGCTACCTCCAGTTTAAAAAGCATCTCTCCTTCAAGGAGTTTGCTAGACTAAAACATCTTTCTATCTTCATGCTGTACTGGTAAGGTAAAGAGAAGCAGATGTGATGTGTCCCATTGAATCAAAATGACTTGGCCAAAGCATATCCAGACTAGGATGTCAGCTTCCTGATTCTGCTGTGATTCTATTTCCTCTGTCTTCTTAAATGAAGGTCACGTGAATGTGGATGGCACATATTTTCTCACTAGAGACATTCAGGCCTGAAGCTGACTAATAATACTCCTTAGGCAAGGAAAATGCCCCTTGTCAGTAACAGCATTGATCATAACCTTTTAAATTCTCTTAAGGTAGAATCTAGAAAATCAGCTTTACCAGAAAATCTGGAGGTGACTAAGAGTAGGGCACACGATGATTCAGCAGATGATCTCTGAGTCACGATGGGTCGGTGCCTCATCCCGGGGAATTGCGAGGCTCGTGGAGCTGCTCTGGGAGAGTGAGACATTAAGTGGCGTTCAAGGTCAATCTTCGGTTATTTCTTAAAACCCTGCTGTTGCTTCTCTGCCTTACTCCCTACTCCTCCTCACTTTCCCCAGACAACAAACTAGAAAGAAAAAAAAGTTTATTAAATCAAGTTTATTTGTCTCCTATAAACTAAGTGAAATCATTCCCCTTTCACCAAACCCTACAATTTGTGACAAGAAATTTACCATGAATGCAGTTTTAATTGGAAGCCTGATTTGGGAGATTTTTAATTTCATTGTATCCAATTTAAGTACATTGTTTGATAATGAACAGGAAGCTTACCACCAGCTTAAAACAAATTTAAAAATTTTTTGCTTTCTCTTACATTGAAAAGCCAAATAGAGGTGCTTTTGGGGTTCGGGGAGTGGGATCCTTGGGTTCCTTGGAGAATGAGTTCCTATTGGGTGGCACATGGCAGTTTTATTAAGGAAAAAGACCACTGAGTAGTCACAGACAGGCAAAAGCTGCATTTTAAAAGTGCAGGTTTATTAGGAAAAAGTGACATTTACATAGACTAAGGTGGGCAAAGAGCTGCATTTTGAAAGAGGTGTGTTTATTGGGGGAAAAAAAAAAGAGGCTCTTGTATAGACCCCCCCTCCAGAGCAAGAGGGGTCTTCTTTGGTGGAATCACTTTGTGGATTTTATCGCTTTGGGGTCCTGTTGGTTAGGTTTTCTGTAACTGATAATCCCTGCTGCTTCCACCTCTTATTTTTTTCTGGAAACATCCACAGCTGGTTAAATGACTTGGTAGTCATCCCTCATCCCCAGCTCTGGTTTTTGACCTTGTGAAAACTTCCATCCTAAATTTTCTACTCTAAGCTTCCACTAGTGGCCAGGTGAAAACTCACTTTTTTAAAAAATTTTCATAGATATTTTATTCTTAGTATAAGCTACTTACAGTTTAGTTCATTTGACTCTAATTTTTTTATATTAATTTTTTACATCACTGTTCATTTTTAAACAATGTTTGCTTCCCCCACTCCCTCAGGTGTAGTCCCCATAGTTTCCTTCACCACTGCACCATCACCTCAGTCCCCTGTGCTCCTCCCTCCCTCCCTCTGATCCCTCTCCCTCCTCCTCCCCTGCAGGATGTCTCTGATTCATAATTGTCTGCTTTTGCTTTGTTGTGTTTCGTACTGTTATTATTTTTTTACACTGATGTCTTATTGGGTTCCCTTATATTCCTTCTATAAATGAAACCATCCGAAATTTTTCTTTTTCCTTCTGGCTTATTTCACTAAGCATAATTCCTTTTAGTTCTATCCACTTTGCTGCAAATGGCGTGAGTTTATCTTTTTTTTTGATTGCTGAGTAATATTCCATTGTGTATATGTACCACATCTTCTTGATCCAGTCATCTATTTTTGAGCATTTGAGTTGTTTCCAGGTTTTACCTATTGTAAATAGTGCTGCAATAAACATAGGTGTACTGGTGGTCTTTTGAATCAATGTTTTTGTGTCCTTTGGGTAGATCCCTAGGAGTGGAATTGCCAGATCATATATATGGTAGCTCCATTTTCAGTAGACTGAGGAACCTCCACACAGCTTTCCCCAGTGGTTGGACCAGTTTGCACTCCCACCAGCAATGTAGGAGAGTTCCTTTTTCACCACATCCTCACCAACATTTGTTGTTGCTTGGAAAACCCACTTTTTTGAATTTAGGTATAGTTATGATGATGGTCTTTTCCAATGAACAATAATGTATCTAAAGAAGGGGAGTGTGTGAATCATCCTTACTTTGCCTGTAGGGCCTGAGTGACTTGAAGTAGAAACTTGCAGGGTAGGGTTGGGGAAGCCAGAAATACTGAGCTGGTAGAGAAACCACTCTAGGTGATGTGCGTGTATCTGCAGGTGTGAAGGGTCTTCTGCAGTCAGCTAGCCACTTTTGGAAAATAGTTTTGAAATGAGATACTGGCTTTAGAGTGATTGGAAATTATTGACATTTCAGTGTCATATTGTACTAGTGCATAAGTTATATTTCAGAGTTAAAACATTCCTCAGGAATGTATTAAACACTGTCTGTGGACAGCCTGGAATTATGGTGCATTCAGCACCTTTATGTTGCTGATAGGGTCAACAAATCTGTCGTTATTGAAATCAGGGAGAACAACTCAGCTTAGTTCTCAAGGTAGAGACCGCAGTGGCTGAATCAGGAAACTTCCTAGGAAAGGAGGGGAGGAGCCTCAGGTGCTATGCAAGTTTTGCCATCAAGCAGTCCCCTAATTAGGGGGTACCTCCCTCTCAAATTTCTTCTTCTGGACTGTACACTGCCCACCTTCTGTGCTAGATTGGTAGCACTGCTAACACTCAGAGAAAAGAGAATGCATATAAAGGATGCCACTTAGGAGGCTTGCCACAGCTGGCAACTAAAGAAATGGAAACAGGAAAATGAAGAAATTGAGTAGGAAGGACAGGGAGAAGAAAGCTAATTAGAAAAGAGTACAAAAAGGATTACATGATGGGCAGGGCTGAAGCTTCGTGGCAGCTCTTTAGGTTTCGTGTTTTAGGGGTGCCTCCCTTTGCTGGCTAAACCTAGTGTTCATGTGAGGGGACAGTTGGAGAAGAGGTTGGAGATGGGTGGTGGTGGGGAATCCAGGAGATAGGGTCAGGTTCCATGCTCTGCTCTGCTTCTGCCTCTTGCTTTGGTTTGGAGTTCTAAAGGGGCAGGTAGGTTCCTATTCTGCAGTGAGGAGAAGTCAATCCAGGTATAATGTGGCAGAGTCCAAAGTAGAAAACTGTCATTTAAAGGCCCCCTGTTCCATCAGAGAAGGTCACTGTTCAGTTGCTCTGTGACACCTGTGCTTTCCCAGGTTGCCTTGCATCATCCCTCATCACCCCTGCCTGGAATCTGGGTATCCCAGTGCATGTATGAATGCTCCATCTCCTGTAGGGGGCAGAGTCTCAAAAGAAAAAGGCAAAAACTTGTTAAGCAAACCTCTGAATAGTTGGTTGTTTTTTTTTTTTTTTAATTTTGTGGGAGACTCTTCAATATATCAAAGATTATTATAGCAGATGGAACTTTAAAAATTGATCTATGTTTCTCATAGACACAGTTAATCAAAACCAGCTGCTTCTTCCTTAAGTCCTGGGTCCTCTAACTTTGCATCCTCATAAAAACATGCATTTGGTGAAAAAACTGGTGGCAGAGCATGTTTGTCTTCCAGAATACCAAAAAGTCTGGTCAATTGTTTTAGTTGAAAACTTGGCTTTATCAATATTTCATGGTTGTAGTGAGCCTCTTTAGACTACAATTTCTTATCTCCTTAGGCTCTCCTTCTTCAAATCTTTTTGATGAATAAAATTCAGAAGTGGAAGATTGCACTGAGTAGCTCTTTATTATGATGTCATTCAGTTGCTATTTAGGGGTGCCACAAATGTTGGCTTTTAAATCTACAAAGTAGGGAAGTTGGCCTTACTTCACTAAATTCTTTCTGTAGGTGAAGAATTTCTATATTCTCTGAATCTCAAAGAGTCCCTGAGAGAAAAAAAGGACCATGATCATCCCCAAATGCCTGAGGTTATGGTTTTGAAAATACATGCTTTGCATAACTGTATATTTCTTAACATGTGCTTGAACTTTTTATAGTCATATTTGATGATGTGTGGTTTGCTCCATGGCTCACTCTCCAGTTCCACAGCAGCCTACTTAGGAAGCACTGGCCACGGTGGTCTCCCTGCAGAGCTGTTACCTACCTGGGTCATCCCTGTCTCCAGGGCCTTTGTACTGTGGCTCCTTGTCCCTGAAACATGTCTTTGAAAATTAAGTTCTTCCATTCTACCATTTATTGTGTGCTGAATTTCTGGCCATGCACCAAAAACTCAGAAACTAGGGGTGTACCTGGCTGAGTCAAGATCCTGCTCTCACGGACTCTGCAGTCTAGTAGGGAAGACAGGTATTAATCAGGTACCATGTCCAGAATGCCAAAAGGCAGCTGTGACAGAGCTACAGAAATGAGGCCCACACATTGAACCAGATGTGCCAAGGTGAAAGATATTCAGTCCTTTTTGACCAGGTGGCTTGATAAAGTTGAACATGTTTGACCCTGAAGTCATGGAAGGCTTCTGAGCAGAGGCGCACGTGAGATAAGTGATATTTAAGAACAATGAATTTGACAGTGCTTTAATGCAGTTTTCCAGAAACACTCCTGTAGGAGAAAATGGGGTATCTTCTTCAGTGAAGTTACTGGTTGAGATTCAAAATTACATTGGCATTGAGGAATGTGTGGCATTAAAATGTTAATGCTAAAACAAATGAGTTTGCAGTTTGTTAAAATACTTACACAGTATGTACCTGTGAGTGGTTCTAAATTAGGTTGTTCACAAAATGCTGCAGAAATTAGATTATAAGGCAGTAACCCTGTTTCTTCAGGAATGAAACATGTG